TTGCAGCCATTGCAGCCCGCCCTGGGGGGAGCGGTCCGGGCAGGCGCGGGAGGGTTGTAATAAGACAGTACCTGTAAGACACTGAAGTGTGGGCTGGAGTGCGGGGAGGGGGATATTGGGGTGCAGGGAGTCAGCGCCAGGGCTTGAGAGGTGTGAGGGGCAGGGGCTCAGGGCAGGAGTGTGGAGGGGCTGTAGGGGGGGCACCACTAGGACCCAGAGTGTAGAAAATTGTGTCTGCTGCTGGCCCAAGGGAGGGGACCTGGGGGTAGGGTTACCAGATGGTCTCCTAAAAAATACCGAACAGCACCAGCTAAAAATTGGGTGTCCCAGTGGAAAGAAGCAGAAATTCCACCCCAGTCAGTTTTGGCTGAGCACCCACGAAAGGCACCTAAACTCAACTACAAAGCACCTGTGGGCTTCTCTCCTGGACTACAGCGCTACAACGTGCTTGAACAGCGCTCAGGAGCAGGGACAGAGCTTCTCCTCAAGACATCACTCCTCCTCAGAGGCATTCAGCTGAGGGCTCCCAGCGCCAATTGCACCCCCGCCTCCCAGCCACTCTCCCCACCCCCCGCCTGGTTTCTGCACGCAAACAAAGGCTCCCAGCACCAATCAGAGCCCCGCTTCCCAGCCTGGGACTCCCTCTGGTTGAGTGTAGAAGCTAGGCCGCGGGAGTGTCTGGGAGTCTCAGCTACCCCCGTCCCCACCAGGTTTTTGCACGCTACCACAGGCTTCCAGCCCCAATCGCAGCTCTGCCTCCCAGCCACTCCTCTGCCCCTGCCAGGCTTCCGTCCAGCACCTGGCCAGAAAAACAAAATATCGGGCATTGCACATGTCTAGTATTTTCTGAATTTTTTTTACCAGACAGAGGACACAAAAACCAGATTGGTAGAATAGCGGACACCTGGCAACCCTACATGGGGGTGTCTTTTGAGCTACCCGCTTCATGTGCCAAAATGTTGTGGGCCAGCCCTGGAGTGCAGGAGTCTGGGAAGAGGACATGAGGAGAGAGCTCGGGCCTGGGAGTGTAGCCACTGTGCACCTAAGGAAACAAAAGCATCAGCTATTGTATACAATAGGCCAGGGTCTGTGACCTGATCTAAGACTGAAAGCATGTGGTAAGAAAACTTTTCCTTTGAATCAAATGTAGTTATGTTAGCACTTTACCTTTATTTTTCTTGTAACCATTTTTTTTATTTCTATGGCTCATTACTTGTATTCACTTGAAAGCTCTCTCTTTTTAGTCAATAAAGGTTTTGTATCAAATCCAGTGTGTTCAAGCTGAAGTGTCCAGGTAACTCAGTTGTGTGCATATTAGTCCCTTAAAGGAATAATGACTCAGTATATTTGTACTGCTCAAGAGAGGGCTGTGCAGTACAGTACATACATTTCTGGAGGAAAATCTAGGACTGAGACTGTATGTGCTGTCACCCTGCAGCAGTGCTTGGTGACCTAGACAAGTGAATGGGTTGCAAGATTGTTGTAACCATGATGGTTTCCTGGAGTAGGGTAGTTTTGCTAACTGCTCTTCTGTACCTAGAATTTGTGGGTGTGCAGTTTGAACCATAATAGCACTTTGGATGCAGAGGGAACATATGGCTGTCACAGTCAATGTGTATGCATTCAGCACACACCTCACTTCATGTGCTTTTGCTTTACATACATGTCACTTTAATATTGTTAGGAAAAAGCTTACATGAACGGAAACTAGTGGAATCTGGTAACTCCACACTTAGGCAGTGGTAAACAAAATGTATTGTGGACCACACATAGAACTAGGTTGCCCATCATGCTCCACAGCAAAACTAAATCAGTAAGAGCCAAAGCTTGACTGTCTATCTGCAGCACTCATTCAGACATAGCTGGGAGTGATTTACATACTGGTGGTGACCAGTCCAGTTTGGAGTCTACATTGTAAAGGGCATCCCAGGTTATAGGAAAGGGATGACATAGGCAATCATTAGTCGGGATTGTACCTTGATATGTCACTCCTACCAAATGCTGACAAGATCAATCAAACTTCCTTCTCCTCTCCACAGACACACACCACCATCCATGAAGTAACATACTGCTATGTTCCTCTCCCCCTTTCCCATCAAACTCACAGAACAAAATTCACACATGATCATGTAGGCAATAAAACCCAATAATGTCCTTTCTGATGCAGAAAACATAAATTTCAAGCCCTCATGACCCTAATACACCAACCTGCCAGAAAAGAGTAAACATCAGCAAAGTAAACCCTTTCAGAAGTGAAACCACAAAACACAGCAAAATCCCTACTTCCCTCACCCTATGGAGACACTAGCATACAGTAAATTTGGACAAAGTCCTATTTACTCATCAGCTAAAAAAGTTTAGAAAGGCGCTCACAATCTGAAATGTATTTATTCCAGGCTGAGGTCTTTAACAGAGCTATTATGCAGCCACTACTGAAAGAAGTCTCCTTCCCTTAAAAAAGTGTTAAGTCTTTACACAATTATGTAGCTTAGGTGGCCTGTTCAGGTGAATTCCCATTGGTAATGCACTTTGGGATCCAGCTGGATAAAAGGCACATTAAACAGCAAATATATCACTGTCTTTGCAATCACAACAAAAAAGATTGCAAAATGTAGCAGTCTTTTGATTCTAAAGCAATCATCTTACTTTCAGATAATGGCCTTATACTACTAAAGATCAAGCAAACATCTTTGTATCAGTTTACACAGTTAATGTATTATTCATTGTGCAGGATTAGTTGACATAAGGGAAGCTGTAAAAGCAATATACTGTAGAAGCTGGGTGGTGATGACCTACTGATTCTCTTCTCCAAACAAAATGTACTAGGTTTTAAACAAAGCAGCTAGACTTTAATTTTTGTTATGTGATAGTTCAGTTACAAAAATATTGTAAAATATTTTAACATGGGTATGAAGTTTTGAAGATGCAGTTGGTACAGGAGTTTTTATGATTAATATCATAATATGTTTGCTGCTGCTACCAAAAACTTTGTTAAGCAGGTTGGTGATGGTGGGAGATTAGTCCCCGTTCCTAGCCTCAGTGAAGCTGACAAATACCAACCTCTGAGTCTTGTTATAAAGAAGAAAAAGTGTTTTCTTTCAAGAAAATCTAAATTTGCTTCAACACCTTTCACTTTAAAAGACATTCTTCAGGGAGAGAAAGAAATTTCAGCAGGTACGTTTTTTGGTTTTTTTAAGCCTGAATAATTAAGTTTTTGCAATAAGTATAGACCTCATGTTATATATTTAATTATAATATGTAGTATGGTGGTGCATTAGTATAGTTAAAATATAATTATCTTAATGACTCAAGCAATTAATGAGAAATGGAAAATAAATTTAAACATAGTCAAACTTCTATTTAAAAATTGCGCAAATATGCTTATGAAATGCTGGCTGAGGGGAAGAGAGAAAGCCCCTGCCAGCTGGGTCAGCTGGGGGGAGAGAAGGTCTCTGCTGGTTGGGAGGGCTGGGGGGAGAGAGCAGTCCCCTGCCAGGACGGATCCTGGGGAGAGAGATGGCCCCTGCTGGCTGGAGGGGCTATGGAGAAAGTGAAGGCTCTTTCTGGCTGGGGGAGAAGAGATGACCCCTGTTGGTTGGGGTGTCTGGAGGGAGAGAAAAGGCCCTAGCAGATGAGACCTCCCACCTCGACCCCCTGTGCACTCCACAACTTTCACATACCCTCACATCTCCAGCCCCCTTCCTCAACCTACCACCTAACTCATGCACTCCCTATGTTATGCTTAAACAAAGCACGCGAGATCTTTTATAGGGGAAAAGGCAGTACGCCACATTTATTGAGAATACAACAGTTGCATATGCTTTTCAGTCACTCTCACACACAAACACCATACACTCAGGCTGTGTCTACACTGCACTCCTTTTCCAGAAAAGGGATGCAGATTAGACACTTTGGAATAGCAAAATCCGCGGGGGATTTAAATATCCCCCACGGTATTTGCATTAACATGGCTGCCGCTTTTTTCCGGCTTGGGGATAAGCCGGAGAAAAGCGCCAGTCTAGACGTGATTCTCCGGAAAATAAACCCTTTTCCGGAGGATCTTTTATTCCTACTTTCAAGTACTTTTATTCCTACTTCCCCTCAGCTTGAAAGTAGGAATAAAAGATCCTCCGGAAAAGGGGTGCAGTGTAGACACAGCCACACAGTCCTGCCAGATGATGTTATAGTTACCAGTCCAGAGTCTGGACCAATCTAGTGGCCAGTCAGATTGATCACAGAGAGAGAGCAGGGTCTTTTGTCAGTCATGATCCAATGTTCTGGAGTTGGTGGCAAGATGAACCCAAAGTTCTATAGCAAAGCACCCTGCTTTTATAATCCTTTTTCTCTGTTGAAGTCTATGGACTTCGCTATGTCAGTCTGTGACCAGTTACTGTTATCTTGTTGATGTTAATCACTCCCAAAACATCTCCAAGAGGCTCACCCTGTCCTGGATTGTTAATCAATTGTTTTTAGGGATGCCTTCACCTTTAGAGTCGTCAGTCTGCCAATCTGATCAATTCTTGGCCATGGGTATGCAATGATGGTTTCTCTGACACCGATATGTCTCTTCACAGTCTGTCTTTTACAGTTAGTCTTCACCCCGCATTCTCCCCCTTCTCTCTTGCCCATCTGGCTTTAACGATGACCTTCACACCATATCTCATTCATACAAACAGTCTTTCCCAGAGATACAAACAGCAAAGTTTTATATTGAACAAAAGCAGACAGCATTGTAAATTGCCTTACTAAATTTTGTAATTAAAACAATTCACACTGAAGGCTCCGGCCTTCACCCCTCCTCTAACCCTCACTGATCTTTTACAAGGCCTTTCGAAGAAAAGCATAACATTAATATCTCATATTGGGCAAAGCAAGAGGCATTGTAAATCAAACAATTAAAACTTCAGCCTTCAACATCCCTCTAGTCTCATTAACATAGGCACAATACCAAAACTCTATTTCCTTAGTTACTAAACTTTAAAACAAAAGGGCTTACTAAAGGGCTTAGTTTAAATGTAATAATATGTTACCTTACATTGCTACGTTATTAATCCTAAAATACAAATATAAAAAGAATAAAACTTTCAATTTCAACACCCATTCCTCCTGCCCTGCTCCCCCCACATCCCAAGGCCTTGTCCTGACTCCTGCACTCCCCACACCACCAGCCCCCCGCTCTTGAAGGACCCGGGCAATGCCAGGTAAGTGTTCTACTAATATATATGTTCTCAAGGTGCATCTCCATGAAATGTCACTGTTGAATGGAAATAGTGGCTTCAAGCCTGCAGTTGATTCATGTGACTGACCCCTTGTGCCAAGTGTCAAGTGTCTGCCCATTCAGATCTGACTGAAGAATTGGGCCACAGTGATACTTTATTTTTATAAATTGTGTCATGTATTTCAGCAGCATAACTGCCTCTAGCTATGTATAATTCCAATAAACATTGAAGGAGACTCTGTCATATGTAGGAGGTTCAAAATTTAAACTATTGGTCCAGATCCACAAAAACATTGTAATGCTGAATGTCACAAAACTTACAGGTGTCTAGAAAATCATGGGGATCCACCATAGCCTGAGTTAGATGCTCCTATACAATGAATATTACGAGATAGGCATTTAAGAATGCGATCCACTAGGTCAGGGGCCTGCATCCTTTTCAAACCTAAGAACCAAATTACATCAAAATTCAGAGCAAGTGGTCAACAAAGAGCCATATAAGAATGTTCATTTGCATGACTGAAAATATACAAGTTGATATTATTGATAATTGATATAATGATTAATAATAGCATAAATGAAACATGGTACTCACAGATTTTATTTAATGGGACTTCTGCTCCTGCATCTTTTCGCACATTTCTTTGAAGTTTACATCATAACTGGTCAAATCCAGCTTAATGCATGCATTCAGGCTGTCTTCTGTCAGTCTTATGGCCGGGGGCTGCAGGAGTCTGGGTTGGGGTGCTTGAGGGGTTCATGGAAGGGGGTTTGAGTGTATGATAGGCTCAGGATTGGGGTGTGTGGGGATACAGGAGTCTGGGGATGTGGGAGTGCAGGAATTTGGGGATGTGGGGGTATGAGGGACTCAGGGCAGGGGGTTCAGGTGTATGATGGGCTCAGGGTTGGGATGTGGGGGGGTGCAGGACTGTTGTGATGCTGTGGGAAGATGTGGACGGGGCCCCAATTGGGAGCTTGTTGGCCAGGCTTCATTTTTAAGTAAAGTTAAATATTATGTCCAACACAAAAGATTTCAGTGTTATCTTTATTTATGCCAGGGGTGGGGAACCTTTTTTGGGTCAGGGGCCACAAACCCACAGAAAAATCAGTCGGAGACCACTCAAGTGAAAAGAAAAAAAATCACCACCACCACCAACTCTCCAAAAAAAACAACCCTCAGATATGGCCCCCAACTGAAAAACCTCACTCCCCTGGTGCTCCAGCCCCATGGTGGGGGGAGGAGCAGGGAGGACCGAGGTTCAAGACCTCAGGCCAGATTTACTCTTCTGGGGTTCCAGGGTTAGGGGATTTTGTGGGCCCCCTAGGCTTTAGGATAGGGCCAAAATAAGGGGTTAAGTATATGGACAGGGCTATCAGTGAGTGGGATAGGGATGGGGGTGCAGGATCTGAGCTGGAGATTGCGTGCTGGAGGGGGTGAGGGTGCAAGGTCTGGGTGGGAGGTAAGGTATAGGAACAGGCTGGGGGTAGGGTGTCTGACCAGGGGGAAGGGGCAGGAGGAGGCTGAGGGCAGGGTGTCTGGGCAGGAGCAGAGGAGCAGGCTGGGGGCAGGAGCGGGCAGGAGACAGGGTAGCTGGTAGGGTTGCCAAATGGTTTCAACAAAAATACTGGACACACTTGACATTACATCACAATCTACATTACATCTTATTTAGAAAATACCGGACATTTATATTTTCTCTTTTATATTTTCTCAATTTGTTTCCCGAACAGAAAGCTCAAATACTGGATTGTCCGGTTCAAAACCGGACACCTGGCAACCCTACTGGCCTGAGGGGTGGGGCAGGAGCAGGCTGGGGGCAGAGTGTCTGTTCAAAGGGGAGGGGACAGGAGCAGGGTGGGGGTAGGTGTCTGTCCAGGGGTAGGAACAGGGTTGGAGTGTGGGGGCTTGGCAGGGGAGGAGGTGTGTGAAGGGGTTGGGGGTGCAGGGTCTGGATTGGGGTGGCATTTACTTGGTTTTGTTCTGTGTGCCGCTCCCAGGCTCCAGAAGCTTTCCCCTCTGCTGTTCCCCCAGTCAGGGGAGGGGAAGGGGAGCAGCAGAGCACAGCCACTTCTGGCTCTGGCTTCTTCCCCACAAACCCGATCCAGCAAGGAGGCTCGACCCGCCTCCCCCTATCAGCTTGCTTAGGTGCTTAAACGTTATTAAAATCCTGACAGAAGTGGAACTCAGTAGCTTTAAAATTCACTTTATCAAAAGTCTGTAAGTTCCTTTGTTCAGTCATGTTATATTGTCAATCAGTATCTTCTAATTTTTTCCACTTGAAGAACAGAAATATATTGTGAATCACAAGGAAATTTTTAATTAAAATGGCTCATTCAGGGAATAGAGTTCAAACAAAAAGGGATTTCTTAGATCTAAGAGCCAAGTCAGGGCTGGGCAATAATTTTAGAGTGGGGGACATTTCACCAATTTTTGAAGTGGCCCTGGACTACTCTGGAAAGGGGGAAGGCATGGGTGTGCTGGGAGTGCCCAGGCACACCCTAATGTCTCAAAATAAAAAGTGGTGTTGCGTTTTAATTTAATCGCATAATATGCTCTTTTAGTTTTAAAGTATGGATTGTTGTATTATACAATACGCTCCGAATTGCATAATATAGATGCTGTAGAAATTTATAGAAAGCCCGCGTTCACTCTCAGCATGTCCTTTATGATTGAGTATTCAATAAATGTTCACCTTAAAAAAAAATTCCCTTGGTGCACACCCTAATGAAATGTGCTGCGCACGCTTATGGGGCAGAGCTTTGTGAAGAAAGGGCGGGGCCAGGACATTTCTGTGCTTCTCCACCCCCAAGCCCTGACTGGCCTGCAGGAGGGGGAGTGAATGAAGTTTGTGCCTCCACTCCTCCACAGAGACAACTGCTAGCTGTTCTGAACAGCTGGCGGTTTACTCTAAGTGCCATGCACCCGGCGGGAGGAGACTTCACATGCTCCCACTGCCCCTAGGCCAATTGGGACCTCGGGACAGGGGGAGCTCACAAAGTCTCTTGCTCCCTGCCCCCGCCCTACAAGGGGCATGTGGTGCTTAGAGTGAACCACCAGCTGTTCAGTTGGTGGTTTGCTCTAAGTGCCACGCACCTGTGGCAGGGGAGGAGACCGTGATTGGCCTGGGGGTGGAGGAGCAGCGGAGTGTCTGTGGGCCAGATCAACCCGCTTGGCAGGCCAGATTTGGTTCTCTTGCCAAACCCTGATCTAAGTACATGCAACATTTCAAGAAAGTCAGATTTGGCTTACTTTGTGTATTGCTACTTCTCCAGAAGAAATTATAAAAGTAGACAAATCAATGAATGCTGGTTCTTTTCATGTGACAGGTGTTTTAACCTTTTCTAGCTTAAATATTTTTTAGATGGTGGGGGCTAGGAAATTAAGACAAGTATACTACTAGTAGTCATGTGTGTTACACTGGTATTACAAAAATTAAAAACAAATTCAGCTAAATTTCCACTGTAATGGTCTAGCCGGTACTGGGTGGTGCTGTGAGGGTAGGGGACTGTACTCGAAGACCTTTCAAGGTCTCTTTCAGTTCTAGTGTTCTATGATTGTATTAAATATAACTAGAAAGTCAGCACTTATTAAAATGATTTTTACCTGAGACTTTTCTTCAATTAGGATAGTATAAAAAATCATAAAGGTCATAAACTTCCCTTGTACTAACCAAAGGCCTTATGTATCAACACAGTCGCATCTAATACCATGAGAATGGCAATGTGGTCTAGTAAAGGTATTACACTTAGGCTATGTCTAAACTGCAGAGGTATCCCAGAAAAGCTCTGCCGCATCCAAGGAACGCATCCGCTTTTCCAAAAAAAAAAAAAGGTCGGAAAAACAGATGTGTTTTGTCGTCATCCCTGTAAACCTCGTTTTATGAGGAAGAAGGGATGTTCTGAAAGAGGTTTTTTTTCCCCCAAAATTTGACTCTGTGTAAACACGCCAAATTTCAGAAAAGCCTCTTTCGGAAGTAAATCAGAAAAAGATATGCAATTTGCATATCACAAATTACATTCCTTTTTCCAATTTATCTTTGTAGTGTAGACATAGCCTTGGTTTCAAGAGTTTAAGTTCAGTTCCATGATTTTCCACTGACTTACCATGTGATCTGGGACAAGTCACTTTGTGCTTCAGTTCACTAAGAAACTAGAGATAATTCATACTCACCCGTGTAAAGAGCTCTTATAACTATGGATGAAAAAGTACTTTATAAGAATTTCAGTAAGTAGTATTGTCTGAGACCCTTCTTCTGCTCTGAATTTCAAAAGTGAAGAATAAAGTTTGTTTTTGATATTTTCAGGGTGATACTCCAGTTCTTTAGTTTGTTTGAGCCCTTAAAATTATTATTCTCTTTATAACCCTAATGGACTTCTATTTTATTTTCTGTATATGAACATGAGACTTTTTTTTTCAAAATACAGCAAGTGTCCTCTTTTCCTCAGGTGTTTCATCCTATCAGCTATTGAATTATGAAGACAAATCAGATGTTTCACTCTATGGTAGACGAGGAAATCAGATAATGAGTGATGTTGGGGTCAATATGGCTGGATCAGATTCTATTGCAGTAAAAGCATCATTTGGCATAGTGACCAAACATGAGGTTGAAGTACCAACATTACTTAAAGAACTTACTAGTAGGTTAGTACTATAATATTTATATTCTTAGCACTAGTGATTCTATGGCTAGATTATGTGATGTTACACGTTACATTGAAATCTTCTTTGATTAGGTTTTTGTTAGGTTTTGAGCACTGTCAATCAATGAATGAGATTTGCTGTCAGATCATTTAATAAGAACAGTAGAATGGCCAGGCTGGTAATACCAGTGAACCACTGAGTCCAATATTCTGCCTTCCCACGTTGCCAGTGCCGGTTGCTTCAGCTGGAATGAACAGAACAGGGCAATTACTGAATGTTCCATCCCCTGTCATTCAGATCCAGCTACTGGCAGTCAGAGGATTAGGGACATCCAAAGCATGGTGTTATGCCTGAAATCTAGGCTAATAGCTATGGATGAGCCTGTCCTCCATGAACTTCCCCAATTCTTTTTTGAACCTAGTTATACTTTTGGCCTCCATTGGTTGATTGTGTGTTGTGTGAAGACATATTTCCTTTTGTTTGTTTTAAACCTGCTGCCTATTAATTTTATAGTCTAATTTGTTAGCTGCTGTTTAATTTGCCAACTACCTGTGGGTTATTTCTCCTTTAATTTTAGAAAAATTAACTTTGATCACTGCCTAGTCCGACAATCAAGAGAAAGTAGGAAAGAGGTTCTGTGTGTGGTCATGGAAAGTATTAGAACAACGCGGCAATGCTCATTATCTGTGCATGCTGGTATGCGCGGGGAAACAATGAGGGTAAATATATTTGACAGTCTTTTTTAACTAATTAAAATGTAGAGTAATATTCTTATTGCAGGGACTGTGAGCAGATTTTAATTACATTTACACTGATGTAAATCCAGAGTAAAATTACAGTAGAGGTCGATGGAATTATACTGATATAAATTAAATTAGACCCTGAACATCTCTATACTGTTCATATCTAGACAAACAGCTATTCCGGTATAGACTATTGAGGTAAAATCTTGACTCCATGGATAAAGCAGGTATAGGCTGGGGCTGGAGTAGAAGCAAGAACAGGGTGGGAAACAAGGCAGGAATATTGGAGCAAGGGCTGGAGCAAGGACTGGAGCAGAAAGTATAAGTGACCGCAGGGCAAGTAAGGCTGTGGGGTGATCAGCATTGAATAATGGTCTGTGGTAGGCATAGGGTTCAAGTATCAGACCGTTGACACCTCTGCTCGGTCAGCAAGTGCAATTGTTTTGAGGGAGCTCATTGGGCATTTCTGAACTTCCTGGGTTGTCTAGTAACCAGGCTGGGAGCCAGTTGTGTACCTGACACATCCATCAGAATAAGATGAATGATAGTACAGATACTCCCCTCTCTCTGCCCAGTTCCTCCTGTTGGATTAATTGGGTCTGAATAGACTACTTCTAAAAGCTGCCGATTCCTCATTAAAATGGACCAGCTATGATGCTATAGATGAGTAGGTGGAATCTGGAATGCTATAATCCATTATGAAATATAAAGGCAAACTCCATGGCTGTGTCTACACTGGCATGATTTTGCGCAAATACTTTTAATGGAAGAGTTTTTCTGTTAAAAGTATTTGCACAAGAGAGCGTCTATACTGGCATGTGCCTTTGCACAAAAGATTTTCTTTGGGGCAAAAGCATCCATGCCAGTGTAGACGCTCTCTTGCGCAAGAAAGCTCCGATGGCCATTTTAGTCATCGGGCTTTCTTGCGCAAGAAATTGTTGTTACCTGCCTATACTGGCCTCTTGTGCAAGAACACGTGCGCAAGAGGACTTATCCCTGAGCGGGAGCATCAGAGTATTTGCACAAGAAGCACTGATTTAGTACATTACAACGTCAGTGTTCTTGCGCAAATACTCGCAGCCAGTGTAGACAGGCGGAAAGATTTTTCGCAAAATCAGCCGCTTTTGCGCAAAATCTTGCCAATGTTGACACAGACCATAAGAAAACATTGGGCAGACAGAAAATTAGAAGATTAGTGTTCAAGTTTAGTGCAGCTAACTTTAAGAGCTGGTTTTGATAGTGTGAGCTTTACAATTTCTTCTGTAAATTTGATTCAAAGACATTTTGATATTATCCGTACCTATTCACTTTTCGAGAGAACCAGCTGCACTTTTCTTCACTCTCATGCAAAGAAAACCATAGCCTCACTGAGAAATATGATCAAAATTCCCTCCTAACTCCAGAGAGGGAGAACAGAGAAATGAGGCGGAGAGAAGTGTGGAGGAGGAGAGAGGTGAAAAATAAAAATAAAAAGCAAAACAATATGGAAAAATAGCTGAACTGGAAAAAATACACAGAAGAAATTAGATGAGAAGTTAAAAAATATAATTAAACAAAGACATGGGTCAGACTGAAGAACAGAAACAGTTTATATATATCAGATGTGGAATGGGATACGGTGTTTTGGCAGAGGTAGGGGAGACCAGGCATAGATCCATTGTGCGTCAGAGCTTTTGCTGAAAAAAGTTAGGAATTACTCCCTTTTATCATCACTGAGGGCAACCAGAGCATGCAGAGAAAAAAATGCTTGGCTGTCCCTCAGCAAGGTAGGCAAGCGAGCAGGGAAACCTCAGAACCGGCTGTCTGGGGAGGAGGGGTCCCTTGAAGCATAGGTCTCAGATAGGCTTAGGCAACAGCCATACAAGGTAACTCCTGACCTGATGCCCTGCCAGAACTGATTCCAGCCCACCTTAAATGCGTTTCAGCGTCCTATCAGTGTGGATGTGCTATTTCAAAATACCAAAATGCTATTTTGAAATGCATTTTGTGTCTAGACGCGTTATTTCGAAATAAGCTATTTCGAAATAATGTTGTAGTATAGACATACCCTATGAGTTTCCAGTAAATATCCATCCTATATTCTCCCTGTTAGGCTCTTCTTCTGCAACTTTCACTCCAGTGGTATTATTGCAAGGTTCAGTATCTCTTGCTGGGCTCTGATACTGTTGAATTAAGATTTTGTATCTTTTGTGGCATAGTCCCAGACCATGTAATATTTGAATTCCATAGGAGAATGCACCAAAGAATGGCAGCACAAGATATTGGTCCTGTCCCCAGCTGGGGACTCTTGTGCATTTCAAAGCTAGCACGCTATGTGCAACCTGGGGCCAGCAGGAAGTCCTGCTGACTTTGGGCTCCACACGGAGTTCCAACTTTGAAATGCACAAGAGACTCCACTGGGGCTCTTGTACATTTCAAAGGAGGAATGCAGAAGTGCCCATCGACTAGTTGAGTCGTCCATGGAAGTGCCTATCGACTACTCAACTAGTAAATTAATTGATATTTAACATCCTTAATTCAAATACCACATGGCCCCTGCAGCTAGTACCAGGATGGGGCAGACAGCAAATCTGCCTGAGAAGGCTGCTGGCTGGGAGTCAAGCATGTAAGTCTCCTGGCCAGAGCCTGCTTCAGGCACCTCAACCCTCTGTTCCCCACCCAACGTAACCCAAACCCTCTGCCCTCCTCCTGCATCCATATCCCGTCCCAAATCCTGCTCTCCATCCCTGTCCCATGTCACAATCCTCACCCCTGACCTCCTCCTGCACCCCTGTCCCATTCCCAAGGTTCCAACCCTAACCCCTACAGCCTCTTCTGCACCCTAGTCTCCTGCCCTAGGTTACAATCCCTTCTCGCCCAAGGTCACAACCCAAACCCCTGCACCCTAGTCCCCTGCCCCAGATCACAAACCAAACCCCTGCATTCCAATCCCCTGACCAAGATTGGAACCCAAACCTCTGCACCCTAGTCCCCTGCCCCAGATCACAGCTGCTTTCTTCATCCAAACTCCCTCCAAGACACCACCACACTCTCTCCTGCACCCAATCCCTGCACCTTCAGCCTGGCCGAGCCTACTATGCTGCACCTAAGCCTGAGAGTGCTCCAGGCTGGCTGGGCTTGCCATGCTGCGCCACAGATTAGAGCAGCTCCCTGCCTACCCATGGTGTGGTGGGCCTGGCATGGCTGGAACAGCCCTCACTCATGATGTGGTGCAGTGGGTCTGGGCCAAGTAGCCCCTGCCTGCAGTGGGTCTGACCTGGACAGATCAGCCTGTGGTACTTCAGGCCTGGCTAAGAGACCACCCACCTGTGACATGTCATGAGCTAGGGGGCTTCTCCAGCCTGTCCGTGCTCTCTGAGCAATTAACTGGATTAATACTTGACTGGTTAACTGATTAAACTGGAATTTACATCCGTAGTATCAGATATACTGATGCTTTCTGTGTCTCAGACTTTACTTAAGTGTAGAAAGTAATGAAGTGCAGGACATCCAAAAGGATGACATTGATATGCCGATTAGAACTAGGAACATTTTTTAGGAAGCTAGATCTTCAACTTCAAAAGAGTCTTTCCATTACTGAAAGTTCCATGCAGTATTTTAAAGTTATTACTCTGAATGTTAATTTATGTTCAAAACATTTTCCTGTAAATGTTTGCTTTTAATGCAATAATTGTTTTCTTTTTTAAATCATAGTTTCATATTATTGAGGACCAAAATCACAAGGGACGAGACAAAGCTATTGTTTTTCCAGCTCATACAACTATTGCATTTAGTGTATTTGAACTTTATATTCATTTAGATGGTAATTTTGGTAAGTAATTTTTATTATAATTGCTAATATAGTAATTTGATTCTTTAAAACTTTGCTCTTGAACAGAGACTTGACGTGTGTCGGCCCCAATCCTATCAAGATTTCTGTACATACTTAACTTTATATTTGTGAGTAGTCTGACCTCATCAGAGACTTAGTTTTAATTCACAATTAATTCTTCCTAGGATAAATGTAGGTGACATCTAAGGGTCTGGTTTATCCTAGAGAGATTTTCACAGAATTAAGTATGGCAGATAATTAAATTTAAGTTTTTAAAAAAATGAAAATAACACTGTTAGTAATGAAACATTAAAAAATGCATCTGCGTATCAGTGTGTGCCTTGGCTGGTTTGTAAGGAACTCAGTCTCTTAGGGCAATCTGATCTACTTCTCCATGCAAGAATAATGTGGCATGAAGGGCCATTCTCCCCTTCCCCAAGAGGCATGTCTAGAATTTGTAAACAAAACCTTTTCCTTGCCTTGGGCTTCTATATTAGTTTGCACCAAATCAGTGAAATGCAATCTGAGACCATAGTCAGTCATGGCTACCTCCAAATCTTTACAAAGTTTTAAAAATATATATAGTTACACAAGATAAAGTGGATTTACTTGCCTAATACTTTCCCTTCTTTGGAAAGGATATAGTATCAATTCCACTCATTTTATTCTAGCCCAGAACAACACTTGGTCAAAGTATGTTGATAATAATCTATCTATATATTTTAGAAATGTCTGTCTGTACATCTGTGAGTCTGTTTGTTCAAAAACTCCTCCTAAACAGTAAGAACTAGCACCACCAAATTTGGTATGCAGCTTCATCTTATCCCCACTTAAAGCAAGGTTAGGGTGTGGTTGTGCTAAGCAAACAAGAAGTGCCAGAAATGGGACTGTTTTCTGTAACATGGAAAGGGAAGGGGGCAGAAAGAGGAGGGAAGTGAAAGCAGGGAAGGGCACAGAAAGGAGTAATGTGATATTGAGAGTGGCCACTGGGGGTAGCTGCACCAAACAAGAGAGTGGCAGCATACATGGGGCTCTGCCATCTTGCCTGCCACCAGACTGGGTAAGTAGTTCCCCTGCCCCAAACCAATTCCCCCTTTTATATCTCCCCCCTTGACTGCAGCCCTGCCCTGATTCCTGCACCACCTACACCACCATACACCTCTTGTCTAGAAGGACCCAGTGAATGCTGGGTAAGTCTTCTAGTAACCCATAATATACAGGTTGAACCTCTCTAGTCCAGCACACTCAGCACCTGAACAATGCCGAACCATGGGAGATCAGTATTGTCTAGCAGTATTACCGACACTTCCACTGTTTACTGGGCTTTTAGAAAATATTTAAGAATAAATTAGAGCTAAATAACAGCACAGATCACTGAGTCAGGACTGCTGGCTATAAACAAACTTCATGGGCCCATGGGAAACTTGGCCACACCCATGATAAGTGGGCATCTGGCTAACTAAAATCACGCTTGAGCACAGATGTTGCTGAACCAGAGAATGTGGGAGGCAGTAAGTTAATTAAATGCTGACTGCCTCAGATGTTTAACCTGGCCAGGAAACTGTAAGGACATGACCGACATGATGATCATTGTAAACCATCTAAGTTAATAAACGAAGTAATTACTACTTCATCCTACCTTGCTTCTCTCTGTTCCATCTCATTTTGTGTGATAACACTGTGTGCCAGTTGCTTGACACCGTCTTTTCTAGGAATTAAAGGGTGCATCTACACTGCACCCGTAGCTTATTTTGATATAATTTCGAAATAAAGCGCTATTTCGAAACATCTCTTAACTCTCATCTGACAAGGGCTTCAGGGATGCCAAATAGTGCACCCATTTATTTTGAAATCTATTCCAAAATAATGGGCTGCTTTAAAGATGTGGAATAGCTATTTCGGGATACTTCCGGTATCCCGAAATAGCTCCACAGTGTAGACGTAGCAAAAGATTAGTAGAATGACTACACGGAAAGCTGAGTTTAATGTTAAGCACTCCCTTAGCTTTATAATACAGGCAGTCCCCGGGTTACGTACAAGATAGGGACTATAGGTTTGTTCTTAAGTTGAATTTGTATGCAAGTCGGAACTGGTACATATTGTAGGGGAAACTCTAGCCAAACATTTCTCCAGAGCTCAGTTTTATTCTCCCACACCTCACTTCCCTCAGTCCTTTATTCTCAAGCTGAGGTGTCTGCTGAGAAAAGCCGCTTCACGTCTCCCTGGTCTGCTGGGGGGAAGCAGCTAGTGCGGGGTTGCCTCACCCCGTTTGTAAGTAGGGATCCGATGTAAGTCGGATCCATGTAACCTGGGGACTGCCTGTATGTGTTATATAACAGAAAACATTTTATATTTAGCTATGTTTGGAAATTGTGTAGCTTTTGAATTTCAGTCTTTTGAAGGTTGTACTTTTTTCTTTAATACAGAGCTCTGTGTCACTCCAATTTCAAAAGGAGGTTTTGAAAAAGAGCAATCTGGATCATTTTCATTGAGCAAATTAAGGAGGAATCTGTTCCGCCGAAGTATGTTTGATATTTATGTCCAAATTCAATGATCAAATGGATTAAGTGCATGTTTTTGTTTCTTTGACTTAGAATGCAAGGTCAGATGTTCACCAGCATCTAATCAAGAGAGAATTTCACTTTAATATTTGCCCCAAGATAATAGTTATTTTGTCTGTGATGATGTCAATTTAAAATAAATGTAAAGATTTTAAGATATACATGGAGAGAGTCTGATTTTAAATAATTATACTCTTACTTATTGTGACTATGTTATTGTATCTTGAAAACTTCTAATTCTTTTCTTAATACAAATGATACAGTATTGATGATGAGAAACAAATATTAATTGTACAATCACAATGACCTAGGAAGTAAACCTGTGTTATATTTTTACAATTTATAAAGCATTATGTAGTTAATCTCAAAAAGTATGCTACATAAAAATAAGGTAAATTTGAGACTGTAAATATTTATTATTTTAAAATGCTCAGTAAGGAAAAATCTTCAATTGACAAGGAGATGGCCTGTATCTATTTATAGGATTTCTTTCTTATCTGTTCTAACAATGTTTTATGTTGGGTACAATTAAAAACTGGATGTTTACCATCCCTAGTAGCCATACTTATTGTAATATGAACGTCATCCTGCAGCATAGAGTTTTGCTACTTTAGTGAATTTTCAGAATGTCTTATTCTAGAATGAGGAGAACCACAAATACAAGAACAAAAACAAGAAAAATGATGTGGTGACATAAACATCCACTTCTAATTGTGCTCTTTGTATGGAAGACTTTACTCCACTTTTACCCTTTCCTGATCCTGGGGGCTGCTGGTGGCCAAATCAATTTGTAGTGCAAGTTTAAGTAGCCTCAATATTATTCTAGCCTGCACCAGTAGATAACAGTCTCCAACAATTCATTCTGATGGTCAAATTATTTGGAGTGCTTCATACTATGGTCTTGGCCTGGAAGAGCTCTGCAGAAGGAGTCAGGACTAGCTAGTATATGGGATATCTATGCTTTCCTTATAGAATTTTGATACTCTAGTGGAGTCCTTTTCTGCTTTAAGTCCCTTTTGCACCACAAAGGTGCACAGGACATTTGAGAGGGATTGAAAATCTGGCTCATGGTCTGAAGTCAGGAAAATAGCATGTTAAACTCCTAGTTCAAACAGTATAAACATCACTCTTAGAAATACTAAGTTCAGATTCTAACTCTGTTTCTTCAGTGGATTATACGTTACTTATTGATGTAAGAACTCCATTTGTTATAAAATGAAGAAGAGTTCCATGTTGTATCTATGTATTAAAAGAATATAGGCCAGTATTTTCAACCATAGATGCCTAAAATTAGGTTTCTAAAATCTTAAATCTAAATAAAAATAGCTAGATTTCCAAATGTGTCGAGTTACTCGCAGCTTCCTTTCATAATGGAAATTACTTTATTTCTTTAGATACAGGTGACAACTTTAGAACTGGGAATGTGGTAATAGTTGCTTTTGTTGTTGTACTGTAATATAATCTGCATTCATATTTCTGGCCTACATTAGGTACAAGAGTTATCTCAAATCTGTTTTGTGAGGATGTTTAGAGAATGAAAGAGATCTGAGGCATATATACTCATGTTAGAAGTAGAAGAAAATGATCCCTGCTCTGTTATTGGAGAGTGTTGTCAGAGACCACTATTGGGAGGATATAGTGATTGCAGTCCTGTTCCTAAAGAGATTCTAAATCCTGCAAATGTACATGCTTACTTTTTTGCACGCTGGAGCATTTTTTAAATCCAATGGCTATGCAGATCTGATGAGAGGTCTTTGCTCCTGCGGAGTTTATCAGTGAGTCTGCGTACCATTGTAAATAGTATCTTCAATTCCATAAGCAGCTCAGACATATACCCACCAAATTTTCCCAAATTAGGTGCTGGTACTCTGGTGGACACTAGAAATAAACTATATGTGGCGTTTAAGATACTTGTTTCTTTTTCCTTCCCTTTTTTCTTCTTCCTAACCCCCCAAAAGTTAGGTCATGTATACACTAGGCAATTATTTCAAATTTACTCAGTTTGACTTCTGGGTACCTGATTTTACAAATTCAAAGTTCCGTGTCTTCACTATGGGGAGGAATTGAATGTAGTCTGAGGAATCACTCTGAGGAGTTGAAGGAGGCCTCCCACAGACCAATTAGTTTGAGTTAGTGGCACCAGAGCATCTACACTAACATTATTTCAGACTTACAAGTTTAGGAATAGCGTTACTCCTCATGAAAAGCAGGACTAGAGTTCAAATTCCATGGCCCCTCATTTTGGAATAATGGGCTTGGTAGTGTGGATGCATCACTTAGAAAATCTACTCGGGGGGCTAATTTCAGACTAAGGTCCTAATGTAGACTAGGGATGTTAGCAAGTAGTCAACTGGACTATTGACTACTCGATTTCCCTCCTCCCCCAGCATGAGAGGCAGCAAAGGTGGGGAAACAGGAGCTAGTGCTGGGGGGAGTCATCTTAAAAGTTCGTTCCCCCCAGTACCATCTCCTTGGTGCTACCCTGCCTGTCCCCACTGCCTTTATCAGAGGCAGTGGGGGTGGGGCAGATGGGGGGCTGCTGCGAAGCAGCCCCTGTCCACAGAGGTCCCAGCAGGGAGTTGGGCCCCCCCTCCAGGGTAGGGGCAGCTGCTGCCAAGCAGCCCCTCTTCGTGGCAGCCCAGACTAGCTGTGTGCAGACAAGGCTGGCTGCCACGAACAGGGGCTACTGGACTTAGAGCAAACCGGGACCAAGTAATCCTGGCTCATGCTGATTGGGGATGCTGCATCTCTGCATTTTAAATGTAGTAAGAGCCTGGCAGTGCAGGTGGCTCCCAGATCCAGCATGAGCCAGGACTAAGCAGTCCCGGCTCCTGGAGCTACCCCCCAGTGCGGCTCTGCAGAGCGGGTCTTATCAACTAATCCACAATTTGTATTGACTACACAATTAGTCAGATAATCACAATTTAACATCCTTAGTGTTGAGCAGACCTCAGAGAAACATTTCAGATGTGAATTATCACCAAGATTCTTATTTCATCAGAGATAAAGTTGTCCTCTGGCAGAAGACATTTGTGAGCCATTTCTGCCTCCCTTTGAAGTGATAAGGAGGTGAGTGTCAAAATTAAGGTTTCATTGGAAGAGCTCGTTACAGCTATAATATGATGTCTCTAATACAGCTTCATAATTCCATATTTATTTCCATCAATTGATTAAAAGTACAGTGTGTCATGGAGAGAGTTCATAGTGTGATGACAAAACATTGCTATTTTGTGTGTATTCTTTTTCAGATAAAAGGGTAATGGATATCATTGCTAATTCAGATGCTTACTTGGAGGACCTATTTACAGACTATTATGAAAAAGCTACAAGCATGACTGATATCTCTACAAGCTATCTCAGAGAAGGGTCTCATATCCGGGTTAATTTACTTAATAATAACATCCCCAAAGGTCCTTGTGCCCTTTGTGGAATGGGAAATTCTAAAAGAGAAACAGTCTATGGATGTCTGGAGTGTTCTTTTAATGGACAAAAGTATGTACGACTGCATGCTGTGCCCTGCTTTGATGTTTGGCACAAGAGAGTGAAATAAATAATCTATGAGCTTGCCTATTGTTATGGACTTCAGTGTAACCGTGCCACAAATTTTCCAAAACTATTCAATTTTGACAGTTAAAATGCAGCAGACATTAAAAGTGCAAAATATTTGATTATGCTGGTATTTCCTTTTTGTATTGTAAAGTGATTCTTTTATAAGGATTATTGTATTACCTAAGTCCAGAAATGCCCCATATTTGTGGCACTTTCTCATTTTATCGTTCATGGTAAGCAATCTAAACATGTTGAAACTGAATGTCGAAGTAGCAATCTTTATCAGCCTATAGTTTGTAATGTACTATAAAAGCTTCTTATGCACATTTGGTTTTTTATGATATTTTGTCTTAACTACATCAGAGTATGCTGGTAAAATGAGAAAATGTGTTAATAATTTAGTGCTGTCATGAATGTTTAATTGAAGTATCAGATTAAAAGCACATTTAAAAACTAGCTCAGTTTAATGTTTCATTGACAAAAGGGAAGGGTTAAAAGGACCATAACTGGTGACGTGTATTCCATGTTAGGCTGTGAATTCACCATATGTCTATATTCTGATTATATTTGTAGGGACCACAAACAAGTCTGCATTGTGCATTTAGCTAACTCAAATCAGGTTTATTTTTAAGCTTTCACACTTCCTGTTGATGTTAGTGGCCTTGACATATCTGAAAAAAAGAAAACAAAATGGTTTAGCAATAATTATATTGCATTGTGCAACTAATATGCTGTGTCCCTTCTATTAGATTTCAGGTTTAGTAGTTGTTGAACCCAATATCACAAATTTAAAAGTTTTTTTTGCAGTGAAGTTGTGGCTGTGGCAATCCCAAGATATTAGAGATAAAAAGTGAGTGAGGAAACATCTTTTATTGGATCACTTTCTGTGATGCTGGGATTTCTCATGTGGCTTGAAAACATGTCTCTCTGGGTATGTCTACACTTCAGCATTAGTCCAGAAAAACAATACTAGCGTCCACGCTGCAATTGTGTTATTTCAACAAAAAGTCAAAATAATGGAAGGCTTTTTCCGATAGTGGTATAGCTCATTCTATGAGGAATAAGACTTTTTTTCAGAAAAAGGAGTGTGTGGCCACGGAAGAGGGAGGTCTGTTGAAAAAAGAGGCCTCCAGGAAATAACACTGGTGCCCTGCTGGCCACTCCGTCCACACTCATCACAACTCTATAGATCCTGTCTTCTGGCAGCTCTTAAAGCCACAGACACAGGGGACAGGGCTTGTGGCAGTAAGCAACCCTGGGAGCTGCAACACACTGCACAGCTGCTACTGCTACACATCTTGGCACCAATGTCCCAGCCACAAGCCCTGCAAGAGCTCACTGGCCCTCCCAGGGAGCATGCACAGGGCTCCCAGGAGCCTGCTTGGGGCTGGAAAAGGTGTGTGCCATCCTGGTCTGGGGTGGAGATCCTGGTCCTCCTAGAGGTACGGGGTGAAGAGGAGACCCTCCAGGCAATGCCGACATATGGCCGGATGGCCAGGACCCTGGCCACGAGGGGCCATCACCAGACTGTTGAGCAAGTCAGGAGTACAGTGAAGGAATTACGGCAGGGACAGGGACCACAGTTCTCGTTCTGAGGCAGGACCCCACTCCTCCCCCTATTATAATGAACTTCACCTCATCCTGGGGGTGCACCCTGGTGGTGGACTCAGAGCTGGAGATGCCTGTCGTCACCTGGCTGGGGATCTCAGCCCAGGAGGAGGTGGAGGAGGTGAAGGAGGACGAAGAGCTGGAGGAGAAGGCAGAGACGGCCCTGGTGCTGCAGTCTGTGCACGTGGAAGCACGTGCAGTGCCAGTCTGCGCTACGCAGCCCCAGGCAGCAGCCCTGGAGCACCCCGGGGCTCCTGCTCACAGGCTCTGAGGAGGCCAGACACATGTCTGAGTGCCGGGGGGTGGAGTGGGCGGTTAGAATGCTGCTGGCAGGAGGCTGGGGACAAGGACACACACAGACTCTGGAGGGCCGCACATGGGCATGCCTGCATGCTTGAGACACCACCCACTCCCTGGGACAGTGCTGCCAGGCGCAGGTGTGTGTAGCCCTGATGGACGCCTAGGCTGCCCGAGGCCCCTCTCCTGGCCATTGGATCTCAGTGTAGATGGACACTTCCCTTGCCTGCTTGTCCATGGGATGTGGGCGGAAAGCATGGTCCCATGGGCACCTCTGGGCCCTTGAGAGGCAGAGCCTGCTGTCCAGGCCACACATGGCCTTGCTCCTGGGACATCCCCACCCTCTGACCCAAGAACTGTTGCTCTCAGCTCGCTGGTAAGGGCAAGGCCTCAGGGAGAGTGTCATGACTGAGCACGTCTCTTTATTTTCCTTAGCTGAACCGGCTGTGATTGTGGGGTGAGCGACGCCAGCCGCCCAACCCCCATAAGCGACGGAGGGCCCATGAGGACCTAATGACGGAGCACGGGTCCATCCTCTAGGACATGTAGTAGATGCTGGCCCAGGTGGTCTGGGACAATGCACAATGGTGGGCCCAGATGTGGACTGAGCTGCTGCAGCAGGGCCGCAACGGTCCATCTGTGCCACCGTCTGGGAGATGATGGCGTACCCGGCACCAGTCCCAGTCTCTGCTCCAGTCCCTGCTCTAGTACCCCCCCACACATGCCAGCCCCTGCCTCCCCATCTTTGCCCCTGCTCCAGCCCATCTCCTGCCTAGTCTCCTGTTCTCCTAGAAACCCCCCACTGCTGAGGTCGCCAAGGTCCCTGGACAAGAGGTGGAACAAACACCCAAACCATATGTTAGTCTCAGCCCCAGCTCTGAGCTTCTCACCCTCTCACCCCCATATCCAGGCTCTCAGCCCACCCTCCTCCCCAGTTACTTTTATCCCAAATAAAAACCCAAAGAGTTATTTTTTTTGAAAACCCATGTGCCACTCTAAGCCCCAGCTCTGAGCCTCTCCTCCCCACTCCGAAGTTCTCATCCCCTCCTCCCCATATCCAGGTTCTCAGTCCCCCTACCCCCTCCCCAGTTTCAGGTTCTCAGCCCCCTCCCCAGTTACTTTTATCAGAAAAAAACAGACTTCTTTTTTAAAAAACAAAACCATTGTTTTTTATTGAGTGTACAGGAAAGGGGGAAAGGGAGGGTTGTTGTGGGAAAGGCCTACGGGGGCAAGGCACAGGCCTCTAGTGGGTGGACCCTGGGGAGAGTTACTTGGGTTCTTCAGAGAAACTCTCCTTCGGGGTCTCCCAGATGCACGCACCCCACACCTGATGGGCCTGGCGAATGGCAGTTCGGCGCAGCTGCTTGAAGGCCCGTCCCGCAGGATGGCCTCTGCCCCCACCCCAGAAGGAAGGCCTCCCCCTTCTCCACAATGTTGTGAAGAACACAATATTCAGAGAGCACCTGGGAGATGTTGTGCTCCCCCACCTCCAGGCAGATCAAGAGGCACCTGAACCTCACCTTCAGATGCCTGAAGGTGCATTCCACCTGGATGCAGGCCCTGCCAAGGAGGACATTGAAGCGGTCCCTGCTTGGGTCCAGGTGGCCAGTGTATGGCTTCATAAGCCATGTCATGAGGGGGTAGGCCACGTCCCCCACGATGCACAGTTGCATCACAGTGTCCCTGACCCTAAAGTTAAGCTGTGGGAAGAATGTTCCAGCCTGCAGCTTGTGGTAGAGGCTGGAGTTGCGGAACACGTGGGCGTCGGGTGTCCTCCCCGACCAGCTGACGAAAATGTCTGAACCACCGGCCGCTATGGTTCACCAGGGTCTGCAGGACCATTGAGAAATAATCCTTTTCTGTTTATATACTGGGTGGCCCGGTGGTCGGGGGCACGGATTCGGATGTGGGTTGCATCTACTGCCCCCCCCCCCAGTTGGAGATGCCCTGGACAGCAAATCTGGCCATGATAGGGCCAGATCTCCCAGACAGATGACCCTGAGCAGCAGGACAGTGTTTGTGGCCCTCACCACCTGCAGAAGGAGACAAAGACACAAAACAAAGAATCAAAGGGGGTGCTGAGCCCTTGGGAGGTCCCTGAGCCCTCCTCATCTCCCCCCACAAACATCCCAGGACCACCCCCTTTGAAACCGCCCCCCGCAGGACTGTGTGAGGGCAGGACTGCGTGAGGGCAGGACTGCAGAACCCCCCCAGTTGGAACTGGTGTCCAGCCTCCAAAAGTGGGTTGCAAGGGCATTGCTCCCACACACAGTGAGATGAGGTTGCAAGGGCATTGCTCCCACACAGAGGCAGAGGTTCCCAAGGATGAACTCGGAAGGCAACCTGCAGAAACTCTAGCATGGCAGTGTGGGGCCATCACATGCCCAGAGGCAGCTCTGGCTACATAGCAGGGAGTGTTGTTGTGTCTTTGCCGCCTGAACCGACCACCAGGATCAACAGATGAGACAGGCCGAGTACTTCTGGACTTGTCCCAGGCTCCTCCATCCCAGCTCCAGCCACAAAAGCCAAAAAATGGCAGCTCCAGCATGGTTGCCGGTGGCACCAAAACCTTCATCGGCACCGGACGGCGGATCCCGTCTTTCACAGGTGCCGGCGGCACCGGCCCCACAGGAACAATCGGCACTGACAACAGTGCCACGGCCAGCACCGAGGGAGGTCCGACATGACACCGAGTCATTAGCTTCGGCACCGGCACTGTTGCCAGTACCTGTGGTGCCGCAGCAGGGACAGCCAACAGGTGCACCAGGCACAACAGCACCAGCACAGGGGAAAGCCCTGGACAAGGCGCGCAGCGAGAAGAGTCCTATATCTCCTTCTTCTACTTTTTCCACCAGAGCTGTCTCCCTCGCCTCCATTGTGCCTCTCGCCCTTGCAGTGCGTATATCATCACCAAAGCCCTAGAGCTCACTACTATTCTAGGAGGAGCCCTCGATCCCCATACCGAGACCAGTCGCGGTCGCATGGAAGTCATTATTACAGGCACCCATCATATTCCCCATCACCTTCCTGTGGGCGATCACCACATTATTCTTACTCGCCGTTACGATCGTCTCATGCCAGTTACAGCAGACAGTATGATAGCGTCAGGTCATTCAGACGCTCATCACCATCTTGATCGGACTGATATTATGACCACCGTCACAGGGCGGCCTACTCTCCACACTGCTGCCATCATTCACGGTCACATCAGCAATCTCCATGCTCGTATTGCTCCCCGACCCATCAGGCTGCTCCAGTGGAACTGCAGCAGCAGCAGGCAGACAAACCAACCCCTCTTCCGCAGAGCCCACTCATAGTAACTCAGCACTTGGAGCCGGAAGAGGATCACTTATCGGAGGCAAACGATCAGCAACAAGAGCTGCCAGTAGTGGACCATTCCTCCTCCTCCCCTGATGAGGTGGTTTTCCTGGCAGACATGTCCCCGCCGGACGACTTGAAACAATTTCAAGAGCTTTTCAAGTGGGTGGCTCACTCTCAGGAGGTCCAATTAGCCGAAGTGCAGGCCAAA